GGTATATACTTGTGTATACTAACTGCTTATAGTTTCCGTTGGTATAGACCCATGTATACAGATGGATTTCAATCCGTCAGTATAGACCTTCCGTTGGTAAAAGGCATTTTGTTTGTAGTGGCAGGAGTACCCCTTGTACTCCATATTTTTAATCAATATGTGTTTTTTTTGCCTTTCAAAAAAAAATTCTATATTAATTTGTATTGAAATTTTTTTTAAGAATTGAAATAAAATTATTAGTGACTTAAAAATTTTATCACAAATAAGTTTGTAACAATTTTCTATGTTACATTAAAGGACTTCTTTTTTGTGACAAGATATAAAGATTATAAATAAGACACTTTTTGTGTCTGAATATTTTTACATAAATAACTATAATTGTGACACATAAAATCATTACAAATAAGCTAGTAATTAGGTTTGTTTTTGCTGTTACTAAAATCATGTTTTCTTGTGATGATTGTAAAATTAGTTGCTATTAATTTAATAACTTAGTATTTGTGTCAAATAGCGATAAACTAAATTTTAGATACAAATATAATTTGTAACTAAAAAATAAATTTTTGTGATTGATTCTATTGCCACAAAAAACTTGTTTTCTTGTAGTGTCTCCATTGTACTTCTCTCCCATCTCAATTATTTTGAGGTGATTGTTGTTTCCTTTGATTGGATATTCTTCTATAAGAATTTTTCCAACATTCCCACAGGAGTGAAGATATTTTTGTCCCATGTCTCAAATCATATGATTCCACAGATGACACGGTTGTTTTCCTTGTCATGCAGAATTGGAAATTAAAGGAATCGCATGATATATGGGACACACTAATCCTATTCCCATTCGCCAACAACAACAGATGTGGAAAGAAGGCTACAAAATGGCATGACAAATTCATGCATGTGTCCGTAAAAGAGCCAGAGATGGAAGCTGGTCGGAGTCAAACGCACGAATTAGAAGCAAAGCCCCACTCCATGCTTTTGTTCTAAAGCACTTGAATGACTCCACGAAATACACCATAGATTTTTCCTATGTCAAGATAGAGATTGGAGAGAAAACTACACTTTTGCACGGATTGCATACCACGTGTTAGTCACCCACATCAACCACCAAACTCCAAAGGAACTTCCTTGGCACCTGGCTAACTGGTTCATATGCTAGTTCTCTTTCGAGGAAGAAATCTGAAGAAATACTTGGAGAAACAGTGATTTAAGATGTAGGATTCCAATATGACATCACTCATGACGTTGGGAGATGTAGCTTCCGTTGTAACTTGTAAGTGTCCCTTATCCACCCACTTTCTAAACTGTTTAAAGAAAAAAGGTATTTTTTAAGTCAGTTTTAAAATTTTTAAAATCTTTTTTCACAAATTTTAATATTTGAATTTGATAAAAAATATATATATAATAAGTGTTTGTAGGCCTCTTATAATATTATATTATTTTAATATTTTAATTTACTACTTTATATATAAAAAATAAAAATAAATCTTATAAATAGTAATTAACTTTTTATATGTATTTATAACTTTTTTTTTTATATATTACACTATCTAAACTTAATTACATTTGAAGTTTCTAACAAATAGGGACGTGCCCTAAGAATGGTAACTAATTATGATATGCAATAACCTGCACCTCAAAGCGGAGGTTGGTCGGGATATTTTGTTGGAGCCAAATTTGTAGTTGTACAGTGATTTTTTTTTTTTATTTTGTCTCTCAAAAAAAAGAAAAAAAAAATAGGGGAAATGATGATGTGGGAGGATGTGAATGGGTGGACCACCGATACTTTCCGCTTTCCACCGACGTTTGGAAGACACCGTTATTCTGTTGACTACGTAAAGGCAAAGCAAAATCTGACATCTTTTAAAAAATAATAATAATAATAAACAGCATTCCACCGAAAGCGAGATCTAGCGTGGCTGAATCCCATTGGATTACAAGTCATTGGCTAAACACAAAATGTACCATTCAGAAATCAGCAAGTGCTACGTTATTGGGTTGAATTTAACGTGTTTGGTTTGCCGATATTTTTGGAAATGGCCTAGAAATGGTCAAGTCGGAATTTACTTCTAGCGTTTGATTGACACTTTAAGGATTTTTATTTATTTATTTATTTATTTTTAAGCTTTAAAGTGCGTGTTAAATTTAACTTTTGAAAATAAAAATTAGCTATTCACTTTAATTGAACAAGGTAGAATATTTAGATTATACACAATTATTATTACTAGTTATTAGATACCAAATATTGATTATCAATTTGAATAACTAATCTAAATATCCCTTAATATTTTCTTAGAAGCCATCTTTCCTTGAAAATAACTTTTTCCTCCTTAAAAACCTAAAAATGATTTCTAGTCTTAGTACCATTAAATTATAAAAACAAAAAATGTTATATAATCTATATTGTATTGAAATGTACAATTTAAATCATTATATAAAGAACAAATTCCTTGATAATATTGTAAGTTATCCTCCTTCAATGATCCTATTTTGCAACAAAGTGCAATTCACACTATAAAATAAGAAATTCTAATAGAAATAAAGTAGAATTAATAACGAAAAACTATAATATAGTTTAAACTATATTGAGTTACACTATACTAATCATTGGATAGAGGGTGAGCCCTCGATATTGGAGGTTCTCCCCTTTCTAATAATTTATGTTTTACAGTTCAATATAATTTAAATAGTAAAATAGAATTCCCAATTAATAAACTCTTTAAGAAGTTACAAATATCCATTCCTCAACTTGATAATTTTCTTTTAGATCAGGAAAAA